GATGTTCAAACAGAGAGCCGAAGAGCTGTTCCCAGGCTTAGACCTTAGTAGTGTAACGATTGGTGAAGACGATGTGGCCCAAACCCCCCTGGATGAGGGCATTGAAGAGGAAGACCTCCTCTCCAGTGAGGAGGAGTAACTGGTGAGAAAGAGACACTTTGTTGTTTTTGTTTTGTTTTGTTTTTTTTTTTTGTTTTTTTTTTGCTGTAATGAATAGTTGTACATGAACTGCTTGTAATGAACCTTTACACAAAGTTGTGAATGAATAAAATTTCGTTTGATTGTCATTTTATTGTTTCTGTTTGTGTATCTGTGATGAATGAAGCGTAGGCGTAGTGTGCATAGGACTCCTGGTTAATAAGAGTGAAATTTAAACTTGTAATAAAGACTGAATGCAGAGTGAAGTTGAGAACGCCACAATGCAAAGTGAGACTTAAAATGATAAGCCTGTGAACTTTCATTTTTTTAAAAAAAAATAATAAGAACGTCTTTGGAATTTGACTAAGAAAAGAGTGGTGTGAGGACTTGGACCTGGAATTGTGACTGAGTGTGTCTATTAATTCCACACGTGTGAAGTTTTTGCATGGGTGGTTTTGATCGAGCCCAATATGTTAGGTCTGGCCGACTGCTTCACGCTCAGTCCGGATGGGGGCTTCGGCGCTCGGTCTGGCTGAGTGTGTTAACGGTCGGACTGCCCGAGGCGGCTCTGGCTGAGGCGTTAAGTGCTCGGTCTGGCTGAGGCTTTTAGTGCTCAGCCTGGCTGAGGCTTTTAGTGCTCAGTCTGGCTGAGGCTTTGAGTACTTAGTTCGGCTGAGGCTTTGAGTGCTAGAATGCAGATTGTAATAAATATAAGGACCGTGCTACGGAGCACGAAAACGAGGTCCCCGAATCCCCCTATTCCTTTTTTTTTTTTTTTTTTTACAGCGGAAGAAGCAAGAAGAAGAGGAAGAGGTGGAGGGGGAGGGGGAAGAAGGACTGGAGGGGGCCAAAAAAATGGGCTGGTGGCTGAGGCGGGCGGAGGCGACGCGACGAGCTCGGCTGGGCCGACGACCGGCGGGCGGACGAGCTCGGCTGGGCGACGAGCTCTTTCTCTCCCTCTTCCCTCTCCTTCTCTTTCTCTCCCTCTTCCACTGCTCTGCGTTCAAAAATGGCGGAAAAAAAGAAAATAACCTAAAGCCCAAAACGACGTCGTTTTTGGCTTAAGGGGGATTCGGGGGCGAAATCCTCGAGCTACCAATCTTTATCCTAAATATAATATATGTCCAAAACATTATTGAGGAGACCAGGTAGCACAGTGGTTGAAGTCTCTCTTCCTCACCCAGCCGGTTTGGGTTCAATCCCCGCAACGGTCACAGGGGTTTTTTAATAAAATAGAATGTACGTACTTGATGAAACGACGTCGTTTCGGCTCACAGCTGTGAGCCCCTCGCAGCTGTAACCCCGAATCGAGTCTGTTTTTGGTAGTCTCTCATTTTTGTTTATGTAATCACTTTTTTCCTTTTATAGATTCCCAAACATACGCTACGGGTTGAAACGACGTCGTTTCGGCTCACAGCTGTGAGCCCCTCGCAGCTATAATTTTTAATTTTAATTTAAATCTTCATTTTAAAAAATAAATAAATATTTTCATCATATCTATTGGGGAAAAAAAAATACAAGATTTTCAATAATTTTATTATCCTCCGACACTTCCTTTGTTATTGCGCTTGCTTTCACTTTTTCCTCTTCACTATTTTTCTTTCTTTTCCCTAGTGGTGAAGCTACAATACCTAAAAACAGATTTCATAGAACTTAATCAATGCTATTTATCAAACTTAAAAAAGTAATTTGAATTTTTCCCTATGGATTGGTCAAAGAATGAGTGGGAAAAAAAAGAAAAAAAACCAACAAAAACAACTACTTTCCAAGGAAGGAAAAACATTATCCAATGAACATCAACTTGTCTCTTTTATATCAAAGCCCATATGAGTGAGCTTGACAATCACATTTCATCACACTGGAATCTTATTACACAAGAGCAAAAAGCATTATTCATATTTCAATCGCAATAGTGTAATAATAATCGTTCAACATCGGGATATTTCAGTCAAGTATGTTGGTAGCAGGATTCTCATCGTGGCAGCATATGAAGGTGATGTGCTTCTCCATGCTACGCAAGCACTCTGGGCATTTCATGCTCTCCGGTATACTTCCCACAATGCTTGGGAATTCAAAGCGACAACACGGGTGCTCAATCCCATGAAGCCTCTCATGGTGATCTTTGAACGATTTATCGAACCCTATGGTGACCACATTTTGTTTCCATATATCAGTGTACTCCACCAAAGTAGGTAACACTGTGGTCCCATGCCCATTGACCACCACCTCCGATCCCTTGCAGAACACAGCCCATCCTTCTCTGCTCTTGTCATAGCTAAGCAGTTTTTTTATTTCTTGCATCATGGGATCGCAATCATCAGCCTTGCCAAGTTGAATCTTGGAGAAGAGCATGCTCTCTAGCCGAGTCCAAAAAAACCATATCATAGGCTCTTGCCAAGCAGTCCCCATTTTACCAGTATTGATGGCTTGAATGGCTCCCCTGACTTGTTCCCTTCTGCTACTCTTTCCGACATAGACCATCTCCAGAGGGATGTGTGCGTCCCGCGCAACAGAGTTTGCCATGGTTGTGAATCTTCGTATCCACTCAATGTCATCCCCTCCATACAAGAAAATGTATTTTCCCTCTCTAATCTATAATAAAAAGAGGTCGATTCGAATCACATGTTAGTTATCAAACCCAATAATTTGATCATATCAGTTTAAAAGGTAAAAAGTATTATATAGTGATGACATCCAATTTGAAATAGTCAATTTATTGTTGAATAAATTATTTTGCCTTTTGAGTTTTATTATATTTCTTAATAGATGTTATCAATTTGACCAAATTAATGTAACAATAGTTATCTAGCTATACAAAATAAAATAGTAAGTTTTTATGTTTTTTTTTTGATGTTTACCCAATTGAGTATCGTTTGGTCGATACCATTCACCAGCAACTCAACCTTCCAAGTCTCTTCCATCCAAAGGGCTTCCTCGCTCAAGCTGGTAAAAGGAAACGCATTGCTTCCCCATATCCACATCATGTGGATGGCATTGGGGCTCACCACCTTACCTTGTGGGTCCAGCACCACAAGGATGGGCTTGTTCTTGAAATGCCACCTCTCCTTGATGAACCTAATCACCAATCGATCAATCAATGAGGGGTGGTGCACCGTGTACCATGTCATCGTGGATTGCATGCTCTCAAACTGCCTTTGCATGGGCTCTGTCCACTGCACTGATTGGTTCACAATTGGGATCCAGACCATCTCAAACAGATTATCCAACCTTGTTCCATATTGACGAGAATCATTATAAATCTGTTCGAGAATTGAAAGCTCATCCGGAGAGATGTCTAGGCTTGATATCAGCAATAATACATTCTTCCTCCTCAAAACTTCCAGATTATCCTATTTTTGGCCATACAGGCAAAGAAATCAGTAAACATGCAACGGCTACAAATGTTGAAAACAAGTAGGCAGTGTGTTGTTTGGTTGGATTAATAGTCCTAGGAATATTAATCCCTTACGAATTACGATTATGTAACCTATCCCACATTTGGAATGTCTTAGATTAGGAGGGGGATTAGTAGAATCCTATTCTATCCCTTTTTTCTTTTTCTTTTTTTTTTTTGGGAGCGGGGTTTTTTCTTTTTTTTTTTTTGTTTGGGGGGGGGGGGGGGGGAGAATCACTAGACATAGACTAAATGGTGTAATGACCGTAATTTGAGGATATTTTTGTCTTTTAGCCACTAATCTGGACACCCTATAATGCCCCATTTTGTATCCCATTACCCTAGTTCCTCATATGGGGGGATATATGGGCCTGTCAATTAAAAAATTCACTTTGTATCCAAATATGAGATTCGAGATTGACTAAAGATACATGATCCAATGGTCTAATCCCACAAAAAAATACAACCACCTTAGTCTACTCATAATCTTAGCATGTGTCATTGATAGATTCATCAGACTAATTGTAGTTACTATACTACTAGTAGAGTCAATGTTCAAACCCTTATCTTAGTAGAACCATCAAAGAGTGGCTGCAAATCATCCTTGGGATAAATCAGCGTCCTGAGAACTTTCATGTTGTCTATGTGGACCATTTCAAAGATATGCGACAGTGCCTCATAAGCTTCAACATTTTTTTTCTCCTCTGCATGAAACAATAATATTTAGTTAGAATCAGTCCATCCATATGTAGGACATTACAATGAGCAATTGAGTCCTCCTACCTCTATATATATATATATATATCCATACAATTGATATAGCGTTTAATTACCTATGAGTTTGTAGCAGAGATCGAGTTTCTTCTTAAGATGGTCGCGTATGCTGTTGATCTTGTAAGTAATGGTGGGTAGGTCCCCTGCAGATGCTGCATATCTGAAATTATATGTACATGTAGTGTCAAGAAAGAAACTACATATGTATATAGGTCATGTAACATTGTTTCAGTGACAATTTTTAACCTCATATATCCATTAAATTCCACCAAGGTTAATTCTCAAAATCATAGATTTGTTATTGAAGTTGAAACGCCGCCATTGCATATGATCAATTGCTATAATTTTTGTACCCCTAAATTGATATTTTGAATAAGGTAATGCATAATTAATTTTGTTTATCAAATAAACATTGATGATGCATTTTATGTAACTGCATTCATTGACAGCAAAAACATACCTATAGGCAAAGTAGATCTGATTTGCACAAGTAAGCATGCCTCTGACGGTCGAATAGACAGCAATTGGGACAGTGGCCATGGCTTCTGACAAGGCAGGCATATCCTGTGTGACATATGAAGAGGGTAGCTCCGTCAACGCCACAATGCACCGGCTCAAATCCAACATGGTCGTGATTAGTTTGCTTAGTTCATCAAACCATAATTTCAGTGCGTCAATGTGCTCCATGATGCGTGGTAATCCCTTAAGCATTGCCATTGATTTTGTAAGTACGTTTGATGTATGAGTCTGAACGAGGAGCCATAAGTGTCCATTGTACAATGCAAAAGCTGATAATGTTAACACCAGCTTAGCATCCCATGAATAGCTTGATAGCATGTTAAACATTAAGGCTGCCACTTGATGATCATCTTTGCCTTCAATACACTTGAAACAGTATCTGATAATACATATTAAAATGGATAAATAGTAATGTAAATAGTTACTTAGATAATTAAAAAAACAAAACTAAAATAAATAAATCTCTAGATGCCAATGAATTGAATAAAATAAAAATTAAAAAAAAAATGATACAAGTTTTATAGGGATGATATAGGGAATCCAATAAACGCCTCTTACCCTTGTCTTTCTCTCATGATTGGAGCATTTCTTACATTGTATAAATACTATAAAAGGACATGCATGCATTTTCGTACCATTTATTGTATTATACGAAATATGAAATATGAAACTACTGTAATTCTGTATGTGTTAAAATAAATTTATGAGCAAAGTTATACAGAATCCCATTTTTTTACCTTATTTTTTTCCCTACCAAATACAAAGCAATGTGACCCACATTAATAAATTTATTAGAGATCCACTCACTTTGTGTCTAGATGTGAGAAAATAGAATAAGAAATTCGATTATATGTAGCATTTTTCTGAATTTATAACCTCCCCCGTAAGTCGATCAATTATAGGATGCACTGACTCAAGTGAGTGTTGGCGGCCTTTGTCATCCATCTGTTCCACGTGTGCATCGATGTCCATGCTCTACAGTCAAATCACAAGTGAATTAATTAGCAACGACAACGAAAAAAATTGCAGATTTATATAATTTGCTGCATTGCATCTCTTTTGCTTAAACCAAATGATGATAATAATTAATGATGGCATTCATTTTTGCAGCACTTGATGTTGACATGAGTGGAACATAAACTTCAGTTGTTTAAGGAAGAGGAGGATTAATGTAGAATTTATATTTATACCGTCACGGAGCTTGGAGCATGCATGCCGGAACGGGTGAGTATATCCTCAACGATTTGAAAAATAAATCTGACGTTGATTTCATGGCCATCTGGAGCATGAGTTGCCTGAATTTGCTTCATCAGCATAGTGTCTTCCGTGCCCTTGAACATAATTCGGTCACTTTTGATAAGTTCCTCGGAACCTGGTGTCATCTTGGCCATGTTAGGCTACGTAGACAAAAACAAGACAATGCAAAAACTCTTTCTAAAATTAGAATATGAAGGCTTGTGTTGTGTGTCTTCTTGCAATCTGACTTGCCCTTTATATAGAACTCATAAATGAAATTTTTAAAAAAAAAAAAGAAAAAAAAAGAAGAAAAGGCATCTGCTAAACCGACTTCCTTGCTTGCTTACAATGAAATTAAAATTCCCCGACAATAAAGTTGAAGCCTAGGCTTTTTTCAATCACTCTACCCCCACATCTTTAACTTTCAATGTGGGTGTCCAAGAATCTTTGGCCAGTGAATTCACTGTGATTTGTATGTTGAGTACTACGTGTATATGAAAAATATTCTCAAAGTTATTCATAGTAATAAAATATTCATGTAAATGATATATATAATCATATATTTGTGGGTATCTTTCCACATAAACGTGTCTCGTTCTTTTTCAAAACTATTGTATCACCGTGTCCAAGAATCAACAAATACACATGAATGACAACAAATGTTCGTGTCAGAATTTCTTCAATACTAACCTAACTCATTTATTTTACTGTATTATCGTGTCGTCTCATTTTAGGTTATTGTCATATTAATGTGTCATCAAAAAAAATTTACACTTAATTAAAAATATCAAATGTATACAAATATTAATTTTTTTTGCAGTTTAAATTTTATGAAACTAATCTCTACTAATGTGAGATGATTCATAAAATGTGTTTAATTTCAACTCAATTTTATTTCTCCAATTTCAAAATTTTAAAACTTATTATTTATTACTAGATTAACTACAAAATAGTAGATGAAAAATCAAATTATCTCAAATGAAAAACAAAATGACTATTTATCCCAAAAATATATTTTATATTTTTTATTCAATTGGATGGGAGTTACTTAACAGATTTAAACATGTTATGACACCCAGTAGTAGAAATACCTTTAAAATATATATAATCAATCATGCATTAAACTGCTTACCTATGTGAAATTCATATTATGGTTCAACAGTGTTGACCTATTTATTTATCGTTTGATCTTTAACTTATGAGGCCTATAGGAAATTCACAATGGTTGCTCATGGCAATTGCCCTGACGAAGATCATGCATACACAGTCTAAGGATCTCTCTGGCCTTAAATTTTTATATTCCTTTATTCCAATGTATTATCAACAGTATGATTATGTGAAAATTTTGAAACAAAAATATCAATATATAATCTTATAACAGAATGGGTAACCACCCAAGCCTGCTGGTGGATGATCTAGGTTCTAGTGCGATCCTCCTAAATCAACACGAACTTTCAAGTTAGATCCTCAACTATAGAGAATCTATTCCCTTTACATATATAGAAGAGCACACATAATTGAAGTGTGATCCACAACATATTAAAATGAAACAATACTACACATTAATTTTTTTTTTTTAAATAAATAATTTTAATTTTTTTACCTACATAAATAGTGTTGTTGGCAGAATCATACAAGGCAAACGTCAAATTTATTTCAAAAACCTCATCAACTTCAATTTATGATTAATACAATTATACCCTTGCAACATAACTGCATTATAAATCTTTCACATATATTTTGCCATTGAATAGGAAAAAAAAAAAAAGAAAGAAAGAAAAGAAAAACAAAAGAAGTTTAAATCAAGAAAGACAATAAACTAATAAAAAATTACATCATAGATTTATGTTGGCCATGTAGATATTTATTTATTGTAGTGGTTTTTTGTTTGGGAGTGTATTTGCTTAAAACATGGAACCAGGGCATAAAAGGTGTGATCCTTAAATCCTAACAAGTACGGCTGTACTTAATGGTGATTCTTTTTAGATAATTTTAGACCCTCAAAAATCTACGGTTGGTGTTCACTATGTCGTATTGATGTGTTCTAAATCAATGTGGAATAACCGCAGTGCTTCCGATCCCCAGCTGGAGGCACCCCCAGTGACCCCCAGTGGCAGGTGGCACACTGCCATTGGGTGGACTTCAAAAAAAAAAAAAAAAAATTCAGCCTATCAGGGGCGACCCCCAGTGACCCCCACTGGGGGTGTTAGGCATTTTTCATATCTTTATTTCCCACAATTCAAATAAAAGGATAAAAACCCGTATCTCTCTTGTACAAAAATCTAAAAAAATAAAAACAAATAAAAAACCAAGAGACAAAAAGAAGCAAATAAAAAAAAAAAGGATAAAAATGCTACATAGTTATCCTTATTTCTTTTCTAAAAAAAATCTAAAAAAACTTCTCTTATGTTCATATTCCAATTTTTATAAATAGTTATACTATTCTCATTAAAATGAAACTAAAGATGATGAAAACAAACAAAAAAAAACACTCACAACTCTCGATTGCATGCTCTCTTCTCTATTACAATATGAATACTTCTCTATATCTTTTTAAATAAACACTTGCTCAAAACCTGTTTATCTGCAATTTACTTTTAAAGACGTGGGTATGTCACGAAAATTCTAAGGGTTTTATTGTCTTTTGCTTTTGCTTTCATTAATTAATTCATAAATAAGTTAAAAACTACTATTTTGAGATTTTTTTTTTTCTCTTACATTTTTCAATTGTGTGTTTCATATATATAATTTTTCAATATTAAATCACTTTTTAAAAATTATTCAATTTCTCCATTTTCATAGTGTTTTTCCTTTTCAAATATTTTGGACAAACAAAAGAGCAATGGCAATATTATGACTGAGAGTGATGGATATCTCTTTGTAATCATCATCATAAGAAGCTGAAGTTGAGGATAAGAAGAAGAAGGAGATGAAAAAACTATGAGGACTTGAATTAATGTGCAAAGTTGAATACAAACTTAATAAGAATAAAAAAATTAATATTTTATTTATGTTTATCTTTAAATTTAAACATTTATTTGCTGGTTGTTAAACAAGTTTTGAGTTTTGTTCAATTATATGTATGCATTGGACTCTCCTAAAATCAATAAATTTTTGTTTATTTTTTTTA